ATATTCGGTTTTAATTTGCATATTTGTGTGAATATTTTATTATTTGTATGTGAAATAATTTCAAAGCATTGATAATACTTAGTATGTTGAAAAGTAGAAAAAAAAGAACTTATTTTATTAAAAAAAATATTTTTATTATTTTTATTATTTTATTTATTTTATTATTTTATTAGAAAAAACTTGCTTTATTTTTTGGAAGTAATTGTTAGCAAAAAAAAAAGGAAAAGAAAAGAATGAAAATCATTATAAAATATAAAATATCTGTTATTTAAAATTTCTCTATAATTTCAAATTTATCAATTCGAAAAAATCAATTTAATATCCTATTATTCAATCATTCTTTTGGTTATATAACGAATATAATACCGCGTTATCGCGAAAAAAAAAATTCCTCAAATTCATTTTATAATGAATGATTTCTTATCCATACACTTATCATATCATTCATTAGCCTGTTCTTTAATGTCACTTATTTCTTTTTGTTCATTTTTATTTTTACAAATGTATTTTCAACTTTGAAAAATGATTGAAATTTCATTAAACAAAGAAGTAAAATCATACCAAAGTAAAAGTTTTTTTTTTTGTTTGTTTTAGCTTTTTCAATTCTTTCATCTTTTCTTCTTCTTTTGTTTTTTTCTTGCCGAATATTGCATTAATGAATAAATAAAAAACAAAAAAAAAAACGGAAAAAATTAGTTTCAAAATTAAATTAAAATTGAAAGATTAAAAAAAAAAAAGATGAGAATATTACATGAAAAATATGTAAAAAATGCATTGAAGTTATTTTAATAAATCATTCCTTTTTTGAATGTAATTATTCAAAAAAAAAAAAGAAATTTAGTCAATAATGGCATCACATTAAGAAGGCATATAATTTTTCTCACAATTTCTTGCCTTTTCATTCCTTCTTATTTTCATTCTCATTTTCTTTTTATCAAAACTAACCCAATTTTAAAGTGTTATTTTATTCCATTTCTTTTACAATTTCATCATCCCTCAATTCATTTACAGTATCATTTCACTTATATTAGCTTTTTCTTTTTTTTTCTAGGTGATAACAAATACAGAATTACATTATTGTGAGCATATAAAAAGAATGCTTATTAAATAATTAGTTAATTGAAATTTATTTTATTAAAATTTCATTTCACTAAGATTAGTTGATTAATCAAACAATTAGTTAATTAAAATTAATTTACTATTTTTTTGTTGATTTTTCACAATGTTATTCGATATTTTGAATGTTTTTATTAGTATAATACTATGTATTCGTCTTACTGCAAATTATTCATAATATCTTGGCAAAAATTTAAAAATTTCAAATTTTTAAAATTGCTTATATTAAGGATAGTTGCAATCATTTTTCAACTTTTAAAATTTGATTTTGTTAAAATTTTTGTTACTTGTTGCTAAATATGAATGAGGAAATATTTAAATTAAGGACAATTGCAATCATTTTTTCAATTTTTTTTTAAAATCTGATTTTGTTGAAAAAATTTTTGATACTTGTTGTTGAAGATGAATGAGGAAAAAAGAAGGTAAAAAACAAAACATGGAAGGTGATGTATTTCATTATTAGAACCTTTTAATTTTTCGAATTTTTTGCTAATTCGAATTAGTTAAACTTACTAGGCCTAACTAATTAGGCTTATTAGAAATTAGTTATTTGAAAAATTTGCTAAATTTTTTTGGAAAAATTAATTTGATGTTGTATAAACTGAACGAGGAAATGCACACTTTTTGGTGATTAAGCAATACTTTATTACAATTAATTATCTTATTATTTATTACTTGAAGACATGTTAGAAATAAATAAATCTATGGTTTAACGGATAAAAAAGCGATCATTTAAAATTAAATTAATTGTCAGATTATTTCAATCAAATTTATTTTTAATTTATTGAATTTCCTAAATATCAATGATATTATATTTTTCAGGCTAACATGCCAATAAAATGAAAAATTTCAAATTTCTGAAATTGTCAATGGAATTTACATATACTTCCGTTGTAGTAATATACATGGATAAATTTTGGTTAAATCAATCAATAATACCATATTTCAATGTATGTTTATGATGGAAAGACGAAAATTTTGATCGGTTTTGTTTTTTTTTTTTCTTTTTTTTACTGCAATTATTACAATGAGTAAAGAAAAAGTTGCAAAATAATTATTAGTAAAAGTTTTGTGTCTTTCTTTTTTTTTTTGTTTTTGTTACTGTTACAAGTATTGCGAATAATTTTTCATTTGGCAAGATTTTCTTTGCTTTTTAATTATTACACAAAGTGATAATTAATTAATGGAATATATTAGTCATTATATTAATTGTTCCATTTTTAATTTCATTTTTTTATAATAGTTTTTGATTTAATTTCAACCAAATTTTCAATCTTATTTCATTCTTTGATAATATATTTGCATAATTTTTTATCAACCATTTTATCGTTTCCAATTGTTTAATTATTTGCATGATTTTTGAGCTTTCAAAGTTGTCTAAATAATGAATAGAAAAAAGAAGCTTAAATTTTAATCTTTTTATATTTTATGATTATTTATACATTCCAAATACTTTCATTTATTTCCGGTTTTTTTCCTCAGAGTTATCATATAACTGTGATAGAAATCATCCTCATAGTTTATTAAATTCGATTGATTTAATATTTAATTAACATATTTGAAGCAAATCATTTACCTTCTAATTATCTTAAATATTAATAAATATTTAATAGAGTACATTTGTCGCACACTAATTGTTTTAACTTTGGCTAATTAATTAGTGCGATGTAATTTGTCACATATCTATTCAGTTTTTGGCATTTCAAACAAATTGTTGAAGTAATAAAACTTCATATAATTGGAGCGTTTAATGAATAAGTACGGAAAATAGAAGAGATATAATAATTGAAATAATGTAAATCGTATGATAATCATAATCCTCTAAATAGCTTTATCAAATCTTTTTAATGCTCATCTTTTCTTATCAGTTCATTATCAATACCATAATTTTAATTGAATTTAAAGAACTCCATAAATCATTGTGTAATCACAAGATATGCATTTTAATACATTATAATTAAATTATGAAACTGATTATGATACTGATAACGAGCTGATAATGGAAAATTAACATTTTTAGCTTTTAAAATAAGCATTTTTTTAAAACTAGCACTTTTAGCAAGTTCACCAAATTGGCCTTTTTTTTTTCTCCCTTCTCTTACTTTTTGTTTACTCCACTCTTAATTTTACTTCTATTATCCCCTTTATTTTGTCTATATTACTTTTGCTACTATTTCTTTTAGAATTCTAATTTGATAATTTTATAGTATCACTTCACTTTTTAGAAATAATAAAAATTAAAATTTCATTAAATTTTAATTAAATTTTATGACTATTTTTTTAATATTTCTAAATTTCACTTTTATCTTTGCTTTTTTTTATTATAAAAAAAAAAAGAAAAACATATCCATATATATAAATTACCTACATGGAGAGATAGTTCAATTGCTTGACATACTGATTAGTAAATGGATGATGGAAAGAGGAGAACTATGTGAAAACGAATAAATTTGCATAAATTACAGAAGCGGACAGAGGAAAACGAAGAGGGAAGGATAAGGCGAGGTAAAAAATGTTGGACGCAATATTTCTCTTTCCTTTTTTTTTTTTCCT